CGTGGTCATATTCCAGTTTCCAGTTGGTTTTTCATCTTCATTTCAAAAAAGTTGCTTTAACCTCCTGACTTCCATGCTCTGCTCCTTCGTTCCCTCCTCCACGAAACAATGTTGAATCTTCATGTACCTAAGTCACAAATAATGTGACTTTATTGACCTAAACTGCATCAACATCACTCGCACCTTCATTACATGTGTACATTGAGGTGTGTGGGTATGCATAAAAGTTGAAGGATCATTTGATATGATCTTCAGCTGTATGGGTAATATTACATTTGATAGTGTTTCCACTCTTCATATGAAAAAATACAATGCCATTATCCCATTTACAATACGAATAAGCACAGTTTAGACTTCGACTTGCCAGTAACAATCTATATGATTCATGTAGGCTTGCTTCATCTCCAAAGCATTTGAACGGGACATTAGTATGTGCCTCGTAACCATTAGGATCAGTAAGTTGCTGGATTCTACATACAGGTATATTGAAATTGGACTGACTTTGAGTTGAGAAAATATATACCTTTCTGTATATGACATTCCCTTTGTCCAAATAGATAAGGTAAATATCATCAGATTGGTTGTGTATTTGTACATAATTATGATGACTACTGAAATTTGGTGACTGCTCATCACACAACTTTCCAAAAACACTGAGTGCACTGTGTAAATTGACTAAATTTAACGCTTTTGGCGAGATGAACTTCACAAACTTTTTATCTCCATTTAACCTCAGCTTCCTGAAGTAGACATAAACTTTCGAGCCACTGTCTGGTTCAGCCGCTTTCATCTTGCATTTTGCCATTACAGGCATAGAGCCTTATCTCAAATATTAAACTGTCTGACTTGGGGGCTAAATTTAAATTTTCCTACTGTGTGAACGACATCACTCCTGGGTATTCTGGATTTGGAGCTGCTTCGCAAACATTTTTTATATCAAATGATTCATCATAGGATTGTGCAGGGATTCTATGTGACACATATGAGGTGTGAGAACATCCAACATCTGCTACAATGAGATCTGAAATACGGTCAGAATGTAACTTATCTAAAACATATTTCTCACACTGACTAAGGGTGGATGGATTGTGAAGATAAATAATATTTGATTCGGCACCATAAGAATTATAATTAGTTTTGAACTAGTTGAGAATTTGTGCTTCATATTAACTGATGTTTTCACTAGAAACAAATGCACTGTGAAAACAAGCAACATTTGTTACAATATTTCAAGAATTTGATTCATTTTAAATATTTCTCTCAAATTCATTAAAAACTACATTAGAAACTAACGGATCATTAAGACAGCCAACATCTGATATGACAACATTAGAAATTTGATCAGAAATCGATTTGAAACATTTGTTTCACAATGTTTTTAAATTTCACTCGACGTGACTGGATAATTAGAATGAAAGGAATCTGATTAAAAGAACATTTGAACACTGCCCAGAGTCAATTTTATTAAAGAATTTGTTGACCTCTTCCTCAATCACAGCCCTGTTCCTTGTTGCATCAGAAATGTATCAAATACGCACTTAAATATGTAGATAATTTTTGATTGTAATTCCGCATTTGATTGTTTAAGCATGTGTTCTTTCAATACAACGATGAGCAGTAAACGAGATCTAATGAACACGTCATCATTAAACTGAAGCATTGATTTTACTTGAGACTGAAATGTTCGTACACTAGTAACCGAGCCGTTTAACAGTGACTTGATAAAAAAAGCAGAAATATATTTATAACTTATGGAATGGGATTTGGAGTACGTTGGACTGTAAATTATTGAGTAATGGTCTAACAGAAACTAAAATCCTCACTATGAGAGTAACTACAGTGAGATTTGAAAAAATACAGGTTGGTCCAATTTCTTCTAGCAAATCCTCTTTTATATATATACACATAAATTATCTCTCTATGGATCGACAAGGACGTGATAAATAAATGTCATTGTATTCCCGCAAAATACTATACCGTAACCAAGACATAATTATATATACACATTTCTGCTGGTGCATGAATGGTTGGATCTCTGTTTTTATGTCTTACAGATTATGAATATCCTCAGTCAATAATACGTGACCCTCTCCCGATATATATTTATCCAATCACAGCTGCCTACTTAATGATAGATCAAGACTTCGCTGAAAAAAAAATGCGGAACTAAGGTCATTAATAGTCGGAGTCAGGATGGTCTTCAGGAAAAAAAGTGGCTTAAACTCTAAACCTAAGCAGCATTTATTCTTACTAGTTAGTAAAATCCATCTGAGACCTTCAGTTATAACAACTCATAAAACTAAGTACAGTAATTGTCATTATCTGCTAGTTTATATATTTTACATGTAACACACTGTACTACTGACCACTATTCAGTAGCTTGCATTCATTGAAACAAGCAGAAAGCTCGTATCTACTTGAATTGTACATTTAAACACGTAGAATTTAACAATGTTGTGACGCATTCCTACTTCAAGTTGAATTTCTTACTTCCCTTTGTGCAATCTCTATTACACATTCCACAGTTTGTAGCCTGGTTTAATTTAACCCGTTTCCCTACTTAAAAAGTATAGCCTCAAATTCATTTTGTTACGTCGAACCTGCTGAAAGCGTATAAAAAACGAGTATAACGTAGAATGGCTAAAAACTAAATACTATCTGATAATTAATTGCTCATCAATAGAATGCCAAAGTGTGAAGTGACTCAAAACTTATTTTGAGATCCAGAGTGATTGGATAAGTATTCACAAAGATCACCGTTTGAGGATATGGGACCTCAAGGCAAGTATTATTCTTTTCCACTTTGTCATCAAGCTGTTCCCGATTCTTAATGTTTGTGGTGTATCTTATCAATCGTTACTGATGCTTTTACTCAACTATTTATAACAAGATTAATGCCCCTGATATTTCCATATTTATTTGAAGACACAAATATTGGTACAAGGGGGCAATAAATACATATGCTCCACACAAAACAATGAGAATGAGGGAAAAAAGGTAAGGAACGTAAAAGAAAAAAAAAGAGGAACAATAACGACCAGATTAGTGTAAGGTAGTGTAGTAATAATATTAATGGGGGAAACGGACAGGTACAACTAGAGAGAATTCTTTCAGGTAAGGAAGATACAACCACGTTTTATGAAAAAAGTAAAAGAAGGTTACAGCAGGATCGCCACTGGCTTCTATTCTGAGCCATATCTGATAACTTCTCTAGCCACTGTGTTGCACCATCTCTCGGGCCCCAGTCAGGGAGTCATGAACGACCAACACAAGCCAGCCCTTTGCAGCTTTCTTTCATACCCCGACACCATGTCATAAACTGATCACCTCTCCGCTTTTTCCAACCAGTCCTGGCATCGGATATAATGCGCGGTGAGGAATTCTCTGGGACGACATTCGCAGAAAATATCCAAGCCACCGAAGTCGACGTTTCAAGATAGTAACACTAATTGACTTATCGTCTCTGCCCGAACACACGATGCCGGCCTTTTACAGCCAGACTAACATCACGAAGGCGCCAAAAATGGCCCAGCTTGGCATAAGACGCTCTGGCTTTCACTATACGTGCATTGATCTCATCAATCACACCCCCACCAGCACTTATGCAGCTACCCAGATACACAAACTTCTCGACTACTTCTATCTGCTTACCATCCAGAGTGAGTACAGGATTGGAATCCTGCCAGTCTTGTAGAAGTACTTTGCACTTCGAAGGTGAAAAGCACATACCATACCTACGAACACTGATTGCCAACTGATTAAGTGCGGATTGCATGGCTTGGGCATTATCGCACAGTAAGACAATATCATCCTCATACTCTAGGTCGAGAAGTCTTTCTCCAGGCAACAGATTCCACACCGCCATTACTTACATTCATCAGAGCTGTTTCCAGAATGTCATCGATGGCTAAGTTGAAGAGGAATGGTGAGATTTGGCAACACTGCCTAATCCCACTGCTTGAATGGAACAATGGAGAGAGGTGGTTGTATACCCTCATTCTGCCTGAAGTGTTTGTATGTAGGGTCTTTAGGATGTTAATAAACTTCTCAGGCACACCCTTCTTCAATAGACAATCCCAGAGAACAGTTTTGTCCAACGAATCGAAGGCAACCCTGATGTTAAGGAACGCTACGATTGTTGGTCTGTGATAAGTATGACAGTGTTCTAACATTTGGCGGAGAGTGAAGATATGATCGATACATCCTCGACCAGAACGAAAACCAGCCTGCTCCTCGCGAGTCAATCTTTCTTGGGTTATGAACAACCTACGAATTACGACGGAAGCCGATAAGTTTGGACGCAATTGGAAGTAAACTTATCCCTCGATAGTTTTTACAGGAACGACGTGAACCCTTTTTAAAGATAGGGACAACTATCAACATAGAAGACTAGCCCTCAGTAATGTTGAATCTTTTCCACATGACTTTACAAAGCCAAAGAGTCAATATTGTGTTATTTTAAAGTGATGGGTAGTGGTTAGCTCGCCTACGTTATAACCAATAGGCGATGAGTTCAAAATCCAGCAAACCTATATAGATTTTGGCAATACGAATAGTGTAGTTCAAAGACGAGTGCACGTATACGAATACGTTGTAAAACAATTTTATTCATAACATTACGTTGATGAGAACTTATGAGCTAAAGATTTATTGGTTTCTTATTACCTTGTAACTGATCCTTCATTCCTCTCAAATCATATTATCTACGCTAATACTGTTACTAATTCTACCAATCAGGTATTTGTTCTAATAATTCCACCTCATTGTGTTGATATGGCGTGGTAACATTACGTAAGCATGTATATGTCAGGGTCCACGTTGCTTACTATTGATTGACCAATAACTGAGTACAGTTAGTCAAATGATTTGATAGAGACACAAAACAACACAAAGTCATTACACAAAATATGTGTAAATATGCATATTGTACAAATAAAATATAATACAATTAATATTTCGGTTACAATACAAGCACTGGTAAGGTTTGTGTGTGTGCATGAAAGGATTAGTCCACTCAGACGTAATTCTCATGAGTTAACAATGTCCTTTTAAAATGAGATCCACATTCGAACCTCAATGTGTGATTAAACCGCGGCAAACTGATTGAAGTTTAACAAAATAATTTCTTAGTGCCGATTCTAAATTGTCGTGCATCTGTGTATTAAAAAAAGAAGACAAAGTTAATGATAATTTTAATGAGTCAATTTTACTACTTGAAACATCGAGTAGTAACTGCGCTACGTGAAAATAATTTACGTGGTGAAGAGATTTATGACATCAGTGAATATTTTCTCAATATTTGTATTACTTGAGCCGGACAATGTATTTAAAAGGTTATCATCATCATATTTACATAAAGAGATTGATCAGTCTTCAACATCAATAACGGGAGAATTCAAACACTTCCAGATAAGGAGTATCCTTACTACAATTCTGGGAGGTTTCGTACTTCAGTCCTAGGAGGGAAACGTGTGTACACACCTAGGAAATCCCATAACTAGGACAAAAAAAGCTATATAATGTTCCTAGGGATTTTCTAACGATTATTGTTTGACTACAATTAGTCAATTATGTAAATTATCATCAAAACCTAAAAAACCTCTCTAAAACCCTCACTGTAATACTTATAGTCCGTCCTTTAACATACACAAACAACGACTGAGCTACAAACGCAATTTTACATAATAAGACAGGTTCATTAAGTTGGAAATATTAAAACATCAGATGAAATTATGATAGACTAAAATCTCAAATATAAGATTTTATTGATCAGCTTATCTAACAAGTAAAGATTTATGCAGTTGGTTACGAACCACATACTCTAAGTTTGCAGGTGAGTTATATTACCCGCTTGATCGAAATAGACGGAGCGAGGTTAGAACCTGAGACTTAGCGTCTGAAAGTCGAATGCCTAAACCATTGAGTGAATAACCGATCTATCTATTACAAGTATCCAAGTTATTACCATTATTAAAGAGACATAGTTTATTATCCATCCATACAACAATTCACATCGATAACGTTAGGTATAAATTTGAACATGAAAATTATCAATTTAGTGAAATTAAGAAAATAGATTAATGTGATTAGGAAGAGCTTACAGCTTCACAGGTTTTTGATTCAGGCGATAATACTTTCAATGCATTCAATATATAAATAAATAATGTATGTGGAAGATACATTGTGCCTGATATCGTCATAGTTTTATTGGCTTTTCGTAAGGGATTTGTTGGATCCATTGAATTGGATAAAGTGGACTAAAACAGTGATAGAGAAGGATGGAAAAAGAGTGAATTTTAAAAAAATTAAGTGTTCAGACAAAACAACGACGAATGGCGTGATTAGAAACAGGCGATGAAAACTGAGAGAGAGAGAGAGAGAGAGAAAAAATAAAACACTAACTTATCTGACCTAATGATAACATCCATTTATGATCAAGTTTAAAGGTTATGAATTTGATTCTGTGTTGTTCTGAGGATGAGTTCTGTTTTAGTGGGTTTTTTCATTCATCCCTCTAATCAGCCAGTTAAAAGCAAGATAAAACCTGACAATTATTTGTATTGGATTTAAGCTGCTACAATATATCAGGATAGTATGGTTAGTACAGAAGTAATAGTAGTGATAATAGTAGTATTAGTGGTGGTATACAAGATTAACTATAGAGAATATGATTCGGAAAGGACCGATTAATTCACAGAATAAAATACCTAAAGCTCAAAATTTAAAATAAGATAGACAACAAATGCATTTTCACTATTGTGATCGAGTTTGAACAGTATTGCCTAACGTCTCAAACCGACGGTTTTGATAAATAGATGAACCTCAACTAGACAATTTACACCTATGTAAATCGCTCAGGACAACAGTCAATAACTATATAAACTGATAACATGATTCATTTAAGCTTTTTTTTACTTTTCCACCAATCTCTTTACACCGCCCAATAATGTGCATCGAAGTAAGCGGTTACTAGGACTACACTACACATAGCCCACTCACCTCAGTCGATAAATATTATAACCTAATCGATCAATTTATTATATCCATTTAGTACTATGTTTCTAATCATAGAAATGGTTACTTGATGGCTTTAACATACCAAAACAATGCTTCAAAGACACTTATAAATGAGTATTAATGACACAACAGATTTATAATTCCCTATAATTAAAATTATAGATTTCGGAAGTACACACAATTGTCTTATTTAAATACCACAAAAAACAAATAGAGAAGATTAAATATACTTACTCGTAAACCAAAGGATGATGGATCTGCGCCTTTATTCATAGCTGCTTCGAGCATATCCATTGCTAATCGATAAGCTGTTTCTAAACGATTGAATTTTATGTACAGACGTAATAAGTTAACAGCTCGTTCTGTTGCGTATGAAGTAGACAATAAGCGTGAAGTTAACCACTCGGGTAGATATAATTGATTAGGACCTGAGGCGAGTATATTTTCGCAAGCAATTAAATGTAGAAAACCATGATACTTTGTTTGAAATGTTGATTGTTTTTCATTAGTTGTACTTGGAGGATCTAGACGTGTGAGAACTGTTTCTAGGAGACGCCAATACATTTCTGGTAAGTTGCATCGACTAAGTAGAGAAAAAAACAACCGGGAATTCCAGAGGATGTTTGGTAAAAGAATAATGAATGATTAAAAAAAGCATAATTATGGGTATATGGTTCGTAGAGATTGTTCGATTTTGTTCAGATCACGAACTAATTTTAACTAGAGTATGACTGGAAACATGAAAGCACTGAACGTCTGTTTCGTTTTAGTTTATGATTTCTCAGTATCGAAAATCCACGACCTAACCACAGGGGGTCAAATTCAGCTTCGCGAGCAAACTCCACCTCTAGACCATTGATCCCGCACACAACGGTGTACAAGTCCTGTAATATCATGGATTGATAGAAGTTAGACTTGTACACCACTGGATTTCGGCTGTTGTAGATTAGACGTTCGAGCGCAAGACTGAATTCGATCCTTTGTAGAAGGGTCAAGGAGGAATCTTATAGTAGGATAAGACGGCCGTCCAGTATTTTCATATATCCAGCATTAGTCTAGTATCAGTTCGTGGTTTCAGTAACAATGTCAGAGCTTAAAAACATTGTATATATTCATCATCATCATCATAAGTATTCAAGAGGATCGGGTAATTGATTAGCGGCTAACCATATCTGATCATCATATCATTGACGAATACTGTCTAAAGATTAGAATACTTTCCAAAAAAACACAACAGTATACCAGTTCTCTTTGAACATAAACAACAAACCCTTTGAAATAAAAAAAATCATTTTATCTGGCCAATAAAATAACAATCAAATCTTACCTAGAATAATTATAATTAGAATGGTATGGTACTATTTTTAAGCTACTGGATTTTTCAATAGCGCCGATATTATCACCGTCATTTCCAACTTTATCAAAATTTAACGTGGACAAATTAGATAAAGACTGTTGAACTAGATCGGCCTCATGCTCTAAAGGAGAAGAATCATTCGCCAATCCTGGTAGTACTGGGAATTGATTTAAACCAGTTGTGATGACAGAAGTGGTACGATGAATATCGTAAACCTCTTTTCGGTGAAGTTCATAATTAACTGTAGGCTGTGAAAAGTTCACCAAGTTGACACTACCAGTTGCGCATTGAGCAAGCTCGCTACAGCGTAAACTTATACTATTAATGATGAGTGCAGGATCAAGATCGTAGGATTCACAAAGACGAACAGCTTCCTGAAAAAGAAAAAAAAAGAAATTTAAAAATTATGTAGAAGATTATGAGAACTGGTTTACGACTGACTAAAACCTAATACTTAAAGAGTAAATTGATTGTTCAACTAGTTAACGATCAAGTGAATCGAAGGAACGTGTTGCATTCAGGGACAGTTAACACTTAACAGAAAGAAAGTCGTTGGAACGGCCAGAATACAATGTTAGCCTATGAAACCATAGATTGGGCAGTAATCATCTGTGGTGGGTTTCCCCTCAAAATGACAAGTCCACACCATTGGTGACGAGTGTCAACTAGTGCGTAACCTAATTCACAAGTAGGGTATCCTGTCAGCTATTGTTAATTATGTGGCATAGAAAGATAGTTCATTTAACGTCTAATCAATTAGACTGGTGGTCATAGTGAAGCTTGACCGATAGAATTCGATCAGCATTAAGGACTAGAAAGCATGATATTGGTTATTAATCAATATATTTATCAACCAAGACTAATCAGCCAAAAATGGGGAAGGTTTTGCATTACTTTCTTGGATTCACCCTGACAAAGACTTACATCATATAATGCAACGGACAATAATCCTCGAACAACTTCATCTGGTGTAAATACACCCGCCCTCAACATTCCCTGTTCCCAACAAGCCTGAGCAAGACGAAGTCGTGCACGTGTCAGTATGTAAGCATTTAATAAATCTTTCAATGTAAGTATTCGTTTATCTTTTCCAAGTCGTGGTAAAGATGGGTCAATTGTTGTTGCACTACGTTTTGCACTTGAAATTGGTTGTTCTTGGTCTAGAGAGTTATCCTCGAAATTATGTTGATCATCAATAATATTGTCCAAAGCAAGGTCATCAGGATTGGCAAACGCCCAGTCGTCATTAGGATACTGTAAAGAAAAGACAGATGTTTTTTTTTATTTGCAAGCATAACGATGAATAAGTTAAATATGAATTTTGACGTGGGAAATTCATATACTCTTATGAAATAGAATCATTTTATACACTGCAATTTTTAACATTCAGGGAAAATGCCCTTTATTAATCATTACATGACTGATGGATAATGTATCTTTAACAATTATTAATGTTACTTGTCTTAATGGATTAAAAGTATTCAGCAGTGCCATCTGAAGACACCTTGACACAGGACATCAATTCGATACATTGAAGTCATTCAAGGTGAGTAATTAACAAACTCCAATCTTTTGAAATTTGCCGAAACGATAGCAATCAAACGACTAAAACCAGATCTATGTATCCAAAAATGTAGTAACAAATCTTTCTTTGCCCTGGTAACATTAAAACACATTTTTAATTATTACGTCGTTCATTATCTCAACTCTTTCTGAAATTTGATTACATCAATGTTATTTTTCTTCAATTCATAACTGACTGATTTCATTTCATATCTTTATTTATTACCATTAATCTGTTTTCAATTGCTTCATTAGGCGATAATCTAACGTTTCTTAAGCTTATGTGTTCTAAGCACTAGCTCAATGTTCTGGGACTTTCCCTCTCGAATTTTATTTATTTATCCGAAACAAAATTTTTATGACCTTATTAACTTTATTGGAATCTTCGCTTCATCATGATACACATATTCATCTTTAATCACTCTCGTATTTATAAGTATGTCAAGATCTATAATAACTTAGATTTTAAAATGTTACAGGTTGTAAGTAGCTAATGAAAACCTAACGAAATAAAGTGAATTCATATTAATCTGCACCAATCTTTGTTTTTACTCTCTTTAAAATAACAAAGGGAACTATGTGTATGACATTACCGTATTGTCTGATTCAGTTTCAGTCATATTATCATCATCTTCATCATCCTCATTGTCGACACTGACAACTACATCCTCATTCACAGGACCTATGCATACAAGCCATTGATTATCTTTGGGCACTAAATAAAGTGTATTAATAGCTGATGCAAGACAAGCAGCTTGACGTTGTAATCCAATCAGAATACGTGCACCACCAGAACGAAAGTTACTCAACCGTGAAGCAGCCAACATAGTATCTTCAATTAATCGATAAGAGTGTTCAAACATAACAGAAGCAGCAGCGCGATAATCAGCTCGATGAATATGATAAGCGTATAACACATCATAGTATGGATTAGAGCCAGCTGGTGATGAGGAAACAGATTTCTTTGTAGACGGATCAGGTACTATGACAACATCAGCAGCACGAGCTCTAGCTTCCAATATAGCAATAAACTAAAAACAATAAGAAATAAAGTTAAATTTGGATTATTAATCAGATGATTAAATATTCACTACATATAAACAAAACACAAGATCGACAAAGAACTTAACTAGTGTTTAAAATATAAGATATAAACATCATATGGACAGTTGTAACGTGGAAACTTTATCATTTGTTAATTTTCCTACAATCGCAACTGTTAATTTTGTTTATATTATTTTCTCAACTAAACTTTTCTTTGTTTACTCCTTCATACTACTTGATAACATTCAGTAAACAGTTGTGTTTCTAGTAATTTCTGAACGTATGGTGTAACGCATGTTTGTTCGTCGTGATATTCTAAAGTATTTACATAAACTAATAACCTTTTTTGTGTATTTTGTAACTATAATTAGTTATTATAAACCGTTGTAAAAGTTAATTCCAGTTTCGTACGTCCCTTGAATCTTTGTTTAAATGCATTAGTTTCCTTACTTGTGTGCTCTTAATTACCATTTTGGTTATCGATGAACTCTTGTTAACATTAGATATAGCAATCAGCTGTCATTAACACTAACGTTTGTTTTAATTACTCTTTAGATTATTAATACAGGTGACCGTTCACTTTCCAAACATACAGATGTGTTAATCGCGGCAGATACCTCACAAGTTGAGGTTTGTAACCAATTTACGTTTATCCCTCAACAATAGGACTGTTTCTTAGACAAATCGTTTTTTTTTTCTAATTCCATTTCACGACAATCTCAACCATGTAGTTGATTTGTTCTATAGAATTAACAGTAACACTAACTGAAATCGCCTCTTTTAAAAATATGGTCAAATTCAATTTGAGTTTTGGTTCAAATTTATCTGAATCATATTTCTTCAGAGGAGAGATTTGTAGGCACAACTTGAACACTGATGTAAATGTGCTTATGACTGGAATTTTAATCCAAAGCTCGAATAAAATCCTAATATTCCATTTAGATTCATAAGGAAAGTAATTTGAATAAGTAGTAAGCAACATGCATCTTGTAAACAGATCAGTGGTAAGTCACCAAGTGCACAAATTTAAAATCCAGATAAATTCTATTAACGAAGAAATATATTATGGTTGTTTTATTAAGTTAGGTGATGTAACAATACACTTTGATTTTGTATTAATTTAGTGATAATTAATAAAGAACTTGACAACTACTTAACTTTTGAAATGAAAAACAATAGTTATGGAAAAAGTGTTAAAATACTATCTACTAATAGTGATTTTTTCACTCACTTCGTTTTCCATAGGTCCATATTGAAAAGAAATCAACTTAGATGCTTCACCACGATCACAAACAGTGACAATCAACTGACGTAAACAATCTCGACGCCTTAATAAAGTTTTAAAAAAATTTATCATGGATTAATATGCTGTTCACATATGTTAGTCAAACATAAAAAATGTAATTAACGACCAGATGCATAATATGAGAACGTAATATCGTTTTGGTAAATTCAAGAATTCATAATTAGTCCGATGTCCTAGAGCAAGTACTGTCGGAAAGACTGGTTACTGAAATGAATGGTATCACACATTTGCGCTTAAATAATATGAATCATATTTGAATATATAAGCATTATTGTAAAGAGAATGTTAATAAGTCTACTATCAAAAAGCTTGTTACAGAATTCCTAGTCGCTCCCCTAAAACACCAGACTACTTATACATGTCAGCTTGAATAATAAAGAAAAGGTGAGAGATGTGAGAACCTTACTTCAAGGTTAGGTTATGTACAAAACATTGAGTGTATTCACAGTTTTACGTGACGTTGGTCTTCTAAAACCTTCTGTAAGTAATATAGCGACGGTACAGATGAATTTCTAATTAAAAACACGACACGTGATCCTTAAGTCCTTCCAAATGTTTCTAAGACGCTTCTATTCATTACTGATTAAATACAGCACTTCCTGGTGTTCTCTGAACTTCCAAAGACTTGGACGAGGGACATTTCTGGCCTCTCCAATAAATGTAACGTATTTTGAAGAGTTTACCTAAAGCTTTAAATATGATTTTGGTATAATTGTTGAGCAAATTAATTCTAAACATTTATTATTACTGGTTGAGTGAGAAACTCTCATTTTATTTTATTTAATATATACATTCAGTTAAAACTGGGTATCAAAACAACTAAGGGTCGTACAATTAAAGACATTAACATTATGGAGAAATCAAAATGACGGAAGAGAAGTACAGTCAAAATAAAGTAAACAACAACAGCATATAATAAGAGATAGAGTTCAGTTCAAATTTTTAAAAAAGGAATAAGTTCTTTGAGTTCAAGAAATTTACCTCACTTTTATGAATGTACAGTGACACTACAGTATAATCACTAATGACTTTTATTCTGACTTATATGAGTAATAACATTTCAAGTCATTGGAATTGCAGAATTTTTAGAATGTCCTAACCGAGGAGTCACGTTGGACTGACGTTTGTTAGTCCTATGCAAATCTTTCGTTTATACTAAGGGATAATGTGATAACCTGATCAACCCTTCAAAGTTTTCTATTTAGGGTGAAATTTATAGCTACTACATACACACATATTCGGTATTTTAAAAAGTGTAGGTGATTTAAATTTGTGTACATTTATTAAATGGAATATGGATTATAAGCATGTTGTGTAATATCACAGATACACACTACTGACAGTTGTCTCGTTTGCTTCCCCTATAGTCTCAATAATTATTCTTAAACTTATATCAATCTTTACAAAAAAACTTATCTTCATACCCAATATACATTAAAAATTCATTTGTTCACTCACCTAGCAATATCCGGATTACTTTGAAGTATCATATATGCTTTGGTATAATTTCCTAACACAAGTTCATGTTTAAACATTCGTGTCCATAAAGTAGCTTCTAGATCAGCTAAACGTGTATTAATTCTAGATTGAGGATCATTATCTGTGAAATAACGACAAATAAAGCATATTAATCAATTAATTAGTAATTAACATAAAATCAATCGGTTTGGGGTGGTTATAGGTACGAGGGTGAGTGTTGATTCCTGACTGCCTGCACACCAAAGATACTTCTTGAAGGATCTGAAAAAGGATCGGTGTAAGTGGTGGCCTTCGTAATCTCGCTAGTATATATTTTTGTTACACAAATTACCAAAGCATACTAGTATGACCAGATAAAAGGGTAAAGGAATCGAAGTAATTTAGTGAAATGACAATGAGAAATATTAAACATTGAGAATACGGATATAAAAAGACTGAATAAGAAATTATTTATAAAAGAAATACTAGAACTCAAGAATTAAAGGAAGTTAAAGTGTGAATATATCATATTTATTAATTTATTTAAACACAAACATTGGTATAAGGAGGCAACAAATAGGTATGCTCCACATAAATCATTCTATTTGTGTAGGGACTGGAATACTGCCCGGGTGCCAAAGCCGGAACATGGTTTTCTTAGGGGGGCCACACCCGGAGCCTTCGATCTAAAGGTCTAATCCACAAGGGAGTGGAACAACGTTAGGAGATGCAGTCCCATATTAGCGAGTGACCAATAATAAGTTTATACGCCTTTCGTTTTCTCAGGATCCCGAAGTTCATGTGTACCATTGATTTGGAATCAGGGTTTTTTAACCCCTTAGGTGGATCTTCCATATCCACTAACCCGGTTAAAAGGGTCGGACATTGGCTTTTTGTTCTCCCAATTCCGTAAATAACACCCTTGTTTTGAGAAGGCAGTGAGTGGAACTTCCTTGTCAGTGGCTATATACATGTAACTATGTGAGAGCATTTCGAGAGGGGGGCTGACTCTCCCCACTCTGGGCCATACTAGAGCATAAAGGGGACATTGTGACTGATTCTGAGATATATCATGCAACCGTTAACTGCACTTATAGCGCGGACCCCAACCACACAGTCTGCATTTATCAATATGGTAGACGACATACTGAAGGCTAAGCTTTCAACACTAAAGACTGAACAATAATTACTTTTTAAATCAATTTGAGATGAATATGTTGTAACTATTATCAAAATAAACTGATAGATAACAATTCTATTCAGAGGAAAATTTGTCAGTAACAGGCAACGAATCATAGAATGATCAATTACTTGGAACATCACATCGAAAGAAACCCTAATATATATGAAATCCACCACATATTTAAGATGATTATTGACGATTAATACTTTTATCATCATAACTCAAGGTTCAGTGTTCTCTGTTTTTGTTTCCTTCTTTCTAGTTGGAAACAATGCAATCAAACTGCAATCGTCTTTTCTCTGAGTTATTCTCATTTACAAACATGACGTTCCAAGTCTTCCTACTAAGTAAATAATAGTTTCTCTAATTATTGAGTTCTATTGAACATCTATTATTCTACAAACACTAGTAATTTTTGAAAATAAGTATGTTATAATATTAGAGTAGTTAATTTATTTGTACACTGCTTATAAAATACAACCCTATGCTTACAAGACTGATTACTATTACATTATATGATAACAGTGTTGTACTCTTTATAAATGCTGTCGTTAAAGATTATGCAGTTCGGACACCTCACATTATACTAAAATATCATTCAAAAAAGTGGTTCAGTCGAAATAAATTATGAATTACATTATTTCAAATAATAGGTCCTTCTTCCGTCTTCTGATTTGTGACTGTGGGGTTCTACATATACGACAGCCGTACGTTGCATATCGTATTCTGCCGTAATCAAGTAGGGGACGTACCAAGTACAATATGTAATAAAAGAGGTGTTGTCAAAATAATTATGTGAAGGAATTCATATGAACTGGGAAAAATGAGTATGTCCATTAGGAATGGGGCAAAACAGATATAAATATAAATAGAATCAAAATGTAATAGGTTTATAATGTTCAGTTAAAGTTTATCGTGATACAGTTGTTGAACAAGGTAAACATATAGTCTGCGAACATACCTCTCTTGGATATATAAGTTAGGTTTTCTAGGGTTAATTCCGAAGGCTTCAACTATATAGGGAAGTCATAATCTTGCTTTATCAGGGAGGAGCCTATCGTCATTAAGTTATTCTTGATTTATTGTGCAAATGCTGGATTATTTGTGGTCACATAATAACGTATTAAAATGTCACCCATTGTGTCCCCTTCAAAATCGAGTTTTAGATAAGCAATTTTTTAAATGCAGACCATTTCAACCACAAACAATAAAAATATATATAACTCGTACATGATATTAAGATGCATGCAACGCTTACCATTAACACTACACTCATTCTCAATAAAATCTGGATATTTCTTTACTGAACCACATAGAAATCCGCTTAAATTATCGTTTTCCATGATTCCACGTAAACTTGCCAAAACAGAAGCTAAACGATGAGTTGATCTACCTCCACTGTTTTGATTTAAACAATTTTCTGATTTGATTGAATTTTGTGTCTCAGCTAAACGATTTAAACAGAATTCCGCAAGATCAAGAATCTCTGGTACATAGTTAGACACTTCGAAAACAGACATTAACTACAAATGAAATCGAACAGGAGGGGAGGAAGAAAGTTGACAAAGATGATTGAATTACTTCATAGAACAAAAATAATAGTATTTATTTATTTTAGACTTTTAAAATAAAGACAACTTACTTTCCATAAATCGTATCGAACCAAAATATCCGTTATTGTATAGTTTTACTACCCAGTACTATGTAAAGTAATACAATTCACTCGTCAATTACATGGTCATGTAATTGAGTTTATTGAGCTTTACTACTTGTGTCAAACACTAGCGGATACAAACTAACCAACTGTTCAAGACAGAAAAGATTTGAACTTGCAACCAGTAGACTGGAAGAATGTCATTTCAAATGAATGTAAAGCAGCGATAAAAAAAGAAACAGTATCATACAATAACAATTACATTATTGTTTTAAAATTACAAAACTTGCCAAAAGAAGAGTTGCTTACCTTCATTAAGAATCGAATTTGTACTTCAACTGGAGAAAGTGAATACATTGATAGTCCATTGGTATTTCTACTGTTACTATCATCATTCACTGTTGATTCATTTAAACTAAATAATTTCGATAGTGAAAATTCTTTTGGAAATAATATTGGCATTAACAGTTTGGGGACATTTTGATTGATTGTTGAATTAGAATGATGAACTGATGATTCTGTTAAATAATTCATAAATAATTGTGTATAACAATACAACCAATTACTAGCAGTAATAAAATGTTTCTTAGCTGATCCCGATTCACTAAAAGTACATGAAAATAAATACATTAAATAGATTGAAAGATGAATGAACAAATGAATAACAGCAATCTAAGTAGACTTTTGTTGGAGGTGTTGTGATCTCTTCTGAGCTAGATGATTTAATTGTGAAGCTTCCAATGCTCTGTTGAACAACATCAGTTCTGTTGACTTGGAAACCCAGTAAATTGCTACCCATAATTGTGACAGAAAACAGACAAACAACCGCAACATGGTTGTAGGAATAATCAAATCAATCAGATTCAAGGTCAATAGAACAAGTTGTTAGTTAATTATAGAAAAATTCTAATAGCTCACTTCTGTTGAAAGTATGTACTGATGATGTTGTTCAGAAGTATATTTAAAGCTTGATAATTAGACCATCAAACTCAGCAGAGACCACAACATAACACCAACAGCTTCTTGTACTACAAATATTCTTCACCATCGTAAGTACTGTCTACAAAAAATTAGCAGTATAAATTCAATCAAAATGAAGTAATCTTACTTCAAAATTGATTATTTACATATTTTAAGGAAAAATCAAGTGGTAGAAACACTATGGCGATAATCCAACCATTTGACTCAATCATCTATTTAACAGTAGGTGTGACGGATGATGTGTGCAAAAGACAGGGACATAATCAGAGAAGGTATATGACCTGGAATTTACCAGGAATTTTTTCGCTAAAAAGGGATAATTGAAGGCCCTGCTCCTAGTTACAACATAGAAAACAGGTATTATTACCAAGGTTTGATTTGATAATTTCGATTAAATTGAGCATTGGGTAGATTGTTATAAATAAATAATATATATGTAATATCCCAATGAGTAGAAAAATTAGATTTTCTGACGTTTCGTGACTTAGTGTAAGCCACTTCAGAGAATAAATAATCAAATTAAAATTATATATATAAAACAGTTTCTTTGATCCATTCCGGATTACGTTTCTAGACTTGATGACATCTAAATTGTAGTTCGCATGAGACCTTGAACATTATAGAGTAACACGAACCTCTTATTGTTCAGTTTCATGTGCTGCTTATTCATTTAAGTTTAAAGTCTCATTCGTCTTGGGGATTAATCAGACAAACTAATAACGGCCGAGTCAGGAGTTATAAATTGAGTATATCCTCAATAAACCACTGTGAATTAATGGCTTTCAACACACTGGTTTACAACCAATGGGGTAGTTACAAAATAAACTATCGTCTAAGAAGTAAATAGAGAGACCCTGTTTCGGTTTGGGCACCCGGGCAGTATCACAGCCCTTGCACAAATCAAATGAGATTTGTGTGGTGCATATGTATTTGGTACCTCCTTGTACCTTGTGCTCAAATAATAATAGTAATAAATAGAGATAATTTCCACAACATAAAATGCAGCTATTGAGCTCTACTTACTCTAGTACAAGGTTGATTACGGATTGCAGATTCTACTCACTACTATGTTATATACACCATCATCTTACCAAAAGACAGACTGAAGTATGAGGCCGCTAGCCACCGCTGGTATTGGAAGATAGTTGCACAACATCACAAATTGGCGTGTAAGCCATTAGATGATGACTACTCAGTGAGTTGAGGATGGTTCTGCAGTTCAATCTCCGATGGGGTAGTGGACACGTACTACTAAGAAGTTCAATACTAGAACTGAAACAGCTATTTAGGGCTCCCTGGTATCAAATAGTCGTCTAACTAAAACCAGTTCAGAATATAAACTATGAAGGACAAAGTAAGGTAGTTTAGAGTAACATATAATACCTAATAATAGTAATCATAATAACAAAGTGTATGTTTCTTTACAAACCAATATCATGAATCACATACCCTGACCATAATTTCGCTAAACCAATGCATAAATGAACAAAACTGAAATCTTTCTCCCACCACCAAGAAATTCTACCACTACTCCCGTCATTATTATTATCATCATCATAATCTGAAGTGTCATTATCAAAATTTTGAGACTGCCACAATTCCCCGTCCTCATTGGTATTGATCAAATCTGGAGAACTGAACAGTAGTTGCCAACTTCTGTGCTCTTGATTATTATTATTAATATCACCAACAAACTGTTTGGTAGCATTTTCAACCATTCGAGCTGATCGTGTTGGAGGTAACAGAAGCATACACAATTTGATCACTTCATTCGACTAATTACAATACAAAGGGAAAAAACATAAGCTCTTCATTTAATGGTAGAAACGTTGAGAGAAAACTAAACCATTGAAAAAACGAAGGATGATGACGAAATGTTGTATTTTATAGCTTCCGTAACTTTTTTCTGACACCACACAATATATACACATACAACTAGAAACATAAAAAAAAACTCTAGAATTGAACGGATCGTTGTACATGAAACAAAAATGATGTAATCACAGTTGTATTACAGTTTATTTTAAAAAGGTAAATTTATTTCTATGGGTTACATCATAGACTGATGTAAGTTGGGTAAATATTGAAAATCGGGAAGTACTGCATGAATATTTCGTATCAATATGTAGAAAAGAGTTTCACAAAAGTGTACATCCTTGATCGCATAGAAGATTGAACACAGAACCTTCAAGTCTCGCGGAGTGAGTTTAAAGTTTAGACTATTATGAGTCAGGGTCCAAGTAAGGTTAGATTATGTTGATATTGAGACTTGAACTCATTACCTTTCGCTTCAAATGCTATCGTATCATTATTCACTAAAACACTCAGTTAATATAGCCACTACCTTATTCAACGGGTGCGATGCTGATACTACTATTATTGGTAAGCATCTGTTATTGATTTTCAGCATTGCCTTGATGTAATTAAATAGGATTAAATGTGTATCCGGGATTCCACTACTAATCGTAATCTATCCATACATTCTAAAAAAAACTTGTAATAAAGTGGTTGGGTATCCAGCACGCTCTTACGTTTCAGTAGATATTCATCTTTTACTAGTTCCTAATTTTAGTTGCCCCCGAATTCCCTGGTACGACCAAGGGTGAGCAGAGTCAGCTAACCACCTCGAAATTCTCTCACATGGCCATGCGTATACAGCCACTATTAGGTAAGTCCTATTCACTCTCATGGTAAGGGTGTTATTTAAAAAATTGAGAGAACGAAAAGCAAATGTACGTCGTTTAAACCGGATTGGTGGATATGGAGGATCCACCTAGGGGGTAGAAAACCCTGATTCCAAATCAATGGTACACATTAGCCCTAGGATCCTGAATAAACAAATGCTGTATAAACCTGTTGTTGGTTACTGGCTACCATGAGACTGCATCTCCTAAGGGTATTCCACTGTCTTGCGGATTATACCTCTAGATCAACGGGTCAAGAAGTGGTTTCCTAAGAAAACCACATGCTTCGGTTTGGGCACCCGGGTAGTATCATAGTCCACGCACAAATCAAGTGACTTGTATGGCGCATGTATTCGGTGCCCCTTTGTACCAATAGTTATGTGTTTAACTAAACAAAATTTATAATAATATTAAAATTATACAATTTAAAATAAAACTGGTTTAATTGAAAACTTACATGTCCACACCATAGTAACAACCAAAGCACATAGACAATTCCTTGTCCACCATCTACTGTAGGAGATAATAATCTTGAAAATTCTGATAGAACATAATCACTAAATTCAGACCAACTAGAAAAAGAGGGGGATGAGATGTAAGTCTTTGAAGTAGAACATAATTTCAACCAATCCCAGTTCAACCAGATTTGATCAAATATTGTCATACCAGGTGTTTGATTGACTGGTGATACTGATAAATGAGCAGTAGTAGAACTAATATTCAGTCTTTCAATAGGAAAGAGGATATCATGAATTCCAAGGATATTCAGATGATCTCTAATGATAGATCTGTGGAAAGAAAAACAACTAGAGATCAAATTTTCACTCACATAACACTATATATATGATGTACTGAAGATAAATAAGCAGTTTCATCGTTTTCATAATGGGTCGTAAAGATTGGTGGATTTCAGTATAAATAATGGACTAATGTTAGTTAAACAATGATTAAAAGCTAGGAGGAAGTACTGGAGAGCTGATTCGATAAACGGTAAGACTCTAACTATAAGTATCCATGACCGCAAAGGGGATAAAAGTCAAGGCCTTCATGTCTTGCTATGAGCGAATATTATTCGAACTACTGAGTTGGTATGCAACAGTCTACAGTTCTAACTCAGTGATTCGAAGGTTAAGAGCCCTACGGAAGACCTGGAGACCCTGGGTTCGACCCCCGGTCGGGTCGTGGATGCGTACTGTTGAGCAGTCCCATAGTAAGACAAGAAATCAGGCCACTGCCTCCTAACATAGGTTTTTATACATAAAATCAGTCCGTGATATAAATCATTTATGGATTATTATTATCAGCAATGTCCTAACAATAAGATCGCCTACTAAGTGGTAATAAAAAAATTAAAACTTCATCATGGACCACAACCAGTATACACACTGAAAGACTCATTATGGTCTGCTAATAAACTGATTCATAACATTTTTGGCAAGCATATAATGGTATTTTTTTATGTAATGCCATTTTTTATCGGTGTTTGTGAAACTCCAAAGTTTGGAGAATCAAAAAACGAACTTATTGAAGATTATTTCGGTATGCACCAAATACTAACGGATTTAAACATGGTCCATTCCGTTAACCTCAATAAGTAGAATTTTATCGCGTTGTTAATTGATTTCATTCATACCATCATTATCTTATAATGCCATAATTATTAAAATACTTTCGTGAAATTCTTGTTTTATAACTATTATTACTTACAAGTAAGCAGTATTCTTTTTCCTGGTACAAACTGTCAATTCTCTTACGGGTTAGAAACGCATTTCATTCAAACAGCAATTCAGAACTTGGCATTCTCTATGTTTGATAGTTTTTTGATAGATTGCTGTTATTGGCCTAACCTGAATTGACTATACTTTACTGCAGAAGTATTTATTATATATCAGTAAAAAGTTGTGGAGATCGTTAGCTTCCACTGGAATCGTAAACAAATTTAAGTTAGACTAATGAGAACCTGTGAGCAATGGATGGCCGCTTCGTCCTAGTATGAAACTCCTCAGCGGTGCGCGCGCACGACTCCATACGAGGGACTCAAACCCAACACCTTCAGTCTAGGTTTTAGGTTTTCTATAGATTATCTGTTAAAATTAAGCTATACTGACAAATTTGAGAGAGTTTCCAGTTAATCAGAAAACAATGTTTAGTCATAAAACACTTTATAATATAAAGATAAGACAATTACACTGGATAAACAGTCTCAAAGTGGTCAATGAATTATTTAGTACACAATAAACCCAAAAACGTTAGGATCAGGATTTAGGCGTTGATTTTAGGGTGGAGGATAATTTATGGTCATATGACGATGAATACATATAAAGATAGTCCTATCAAATCTCGCGAGATCTTTTGGCAAAAATATACTTTGTGGACGAGTCAATCGGAACCGAGAATGCGACATTTAGGTTCCTGCGCGAAATTCAAATATTATGTATGATAAACAGTATAAATACATTTTTATAAAGCGTGAAACGTATTAAGTACTTAGTTCTATCTCTTTATATTGTATATAACAGCCAAATCAACACTATCATTAGATCCTGACCCTAAACCCTTAATCCTGAAAAAAAAAACCCTTAACTTGGGCATCTCATTTCATGGACGAGCGAACCAGATAGTGCACTTTGGATCTTTGCACAAAATTCATCCATAGATTTGTCCGCAAAGAATCTCTACATTATTAGCTGATGTGATGATTAAACTCTCAACCCTAAAACACTAATCTTTACCCTAAATAATTAACATTACCCAAGAAGAATGTGAGATACTCACAAATCTAAGTGGATCCTTATAGGGCATTGAAAAGATGGATAATCCATATCCATAAAGACAAGCTGTTATGATCAGAAGGGGTTTTGTGGAGATTGTAGTAATTTCAATAGTTGAGATCATGAGTCGATTGAAGCTAGACCACCATGGAAAACTTGGAAGCACTAGACGGCCCTTTCATCTTACTGTGGGACTCCTCAGCAGTGCGCACCGACGATCCTGCCTCACGGGATTCGAACCCAAGACCTATCAGTCTCGAGCGAGGGCGCTTAACCAAACTGGTTGGAAATTCAGTCACAAATTTCAAATTCACCGCTGTTATATTCTCACCGAACTTTTAAACTAGATTGGATTATTCGTAAATTACGTCAAAATGTTATGTATATTTGATTTCTGCTTGATTGTTTTCCTTATTATTTTCTTATAAAAGAAAACTAATCACTTCCTCTTTGTTACCTGACGAATCGCTAAAATTCATCTCTATTCTTACTTCTTCTTGTGCTTATCAATTTTAAGCGTCTGAATAATAATTAAATATTGTTAGGTTTTATTAAGCTTTCAAATGAATATGAGCTTTCCACTATCGCATTTAACAATTTGAGCAAATCTGAACGGCCAATATCTTAGATATGATCAGTTTAGGCCCTGGTACGGCCGAGAGTGGAGAGAGTCAGCTCTCCCGCTCTCGAAATGCTCTCACATCGCCACGTGCATACAACCACTGACAGGGAAGTCTTACACATTGCCTTCTCGAAACGGGTGTTGTTTATGAAATTTAGAGGACCAAAAGCGAATAACCGACGCTTTAACCGGGTTGGTGAATATGGAGGATTCACCTAGGGGAGTTAGAAAACCCTTACTCTAAACCAATGGTGCGCATGGGCTCCATGATCCTGAGTGAAAAAATGGCGTATGAACTTATTATTGGTCACTCGCTATTATGGGACTGCATCTCCTAACGTTGTTCCACTCCCTTGTGGATTAGACCTTTAAGTCGAAGGCTCCGGGTGTGGCCCCCCTAAGAAAACCATGTTCCGGCTTTGGCACCCGGGCAGTATTCCAGCCCCTACACAAATAGAATGATTTATGTGGAGCATACATATTTGTTGCCTCCTTGCACCAATGTTTATGTGTTTAAATAAATAAACAGTTTAGGCAATATTGTTTACTTCTACCAAGTACCTATAATTATTGAACACTGAATATTAGTAATTTCCTCACATATATATTTTGTAGTATAAAGTTTATGAAGTAAATCACATCATCACACAAAACCTTAACCTTGATGTTAAACGAGTTAGCGTTGGACTTATGGCAAAAAAATAGTGAGTTAATTCATTAACGAAGAAGTTTATTTTACATTCAAAGATATCCAACTCAAAGTTACCATTTACAAACCAGCCAATTACCTTGTTATACCAAAACAAAAAACATTATATATTTAAAGGATGGTTATTATTCAAAAACATTTAATCATTAGAGAAGAGAATCTTATTTTAACCGTTAAATAAATACAACTTACAATTTATCCATATCAGGAGTAGGCCGTACACGAACAACGGTCAAATTATGTAAAAATCCAAGACTTTGAATCAATGAGACAAGTCGATTTTTTGCATTACTATGCCAGTTGATATCTATACCTTTCGGTTGTTTATCAGTTGAACAATCATCATCTTCAACATCATCCTCATCGGCATTATTATTATTATTACGTAACATGATTAAACCATTTGAAGCAAGCTCATTACGTCGTATTAAAATTAATAAAGCGAATGAAAATAAAATACGAGTTTCAGTAGATTGAGCAAGTGATAAACGTACAAACTGTACACATGAATTAGAAAGATTTTTAGTAAATTTTTTAGTTTCTTTATCAATTGTTTGACCATTTGTTGGGATAAAAGAACCTGCTTTGTTTTGTTTTGTTGTTGAAATAATAATTGAAAGTAAACATTAGACAGAATTAAAATTTGAGAAAGATATTATTATTGTATAGTTTACATTACGAACTGATATTAATTAGACTAACTATTGAAAGCCAGGAAGCACTGAACCGTTTTATCTGCCTATTAAGTATGAAGCACCTCAACAGTGCTTATTCACAAATCACCAAAGATCGAGCTCAGAACTATAGGGTCTTACGGCTAGTACTTAAGTCACTGAGTCTGTACCAAGCTTTTTGCAAGCCTAAACGAAGTCACTTTGCAACACACTCTAGTCACACTATAACGTCACTAGTGAGCAGTAGCCTCAAAACCGGCATGGTTGAACTTCACAACTGGTTGGTTGCACAGTATTGCGAAACGATCGAAGTTAAACTTGTATGCTATTATATACCAACTGAGAAACCTAAAAGTCGGGCTTCAGCTGTTATACCCGAAGATAGTGTGCTCGACCACCTCTGAGGTCATGGATGAGCTCTGCTGAGTTGTCCCACACTAAGAAGAAATGACTGTACAGTGGACTTTCTGGTCTTTAATGATTGTCTAACTATGGTCAGTTTAAGATGTAAACTATGAAATTCAAAAAATTCAAAAACCACTTACACTAACAATATTATTATGAATAAAGTTCTCCTCAATATTTCTTTAGATACAGTAACCGAAACAAAATAATACTTATTCTTTCAGTTGACCAGATAGGTTATGTCACCAGTATAAGAACGGTCTTTTGAAAGATTGAGAAGCATGCTAAAAAACTAGCTTTTACTGAATTCGATTGAGGTGCTCAAATAATGTGTACTCCATCCCCCATATTTCAGGATACTTGAATCAAGTAGGTTATGAAATCGGTCTAACGTATACACAAAATAATAAGTGGTACCAATCAACTAATCAAAACTGAATGAAAACTTATACAGCGGTGAGTTATCAAATGTATGTTCAAGTAAACAAAGGATTTCATTAACATCAGGAATCATGTTGGAAAGACATATCTCATTTTGATAAATAGGGACTATGTAAAGTGATTGAAGGCGACCGGGGAAAAAATATTGTGGGTGACATATGCATCATAACTCCACTACTTTCTTTCTGTATTTCATTAGTTTATCTGAAACTAATTGTCCTACTATCGTTTAATACACAATGTTCCGATCTAGCTATAATATTGAATTGGTCTCTTTTTGCTTGTTTATGTTGCATGTTGACTGTCGCTGGTGAGTTTTTCACTCTGCATTTGAGTTCGTTTTAACAGAAGTTAATTATCAGTTTTATTGTAGAATCATCTTGAGAAATTCGGTCAAATGACTTTAAATGACCTCTAGTGAACTATTTCGGTGGGTTTAACAGTTAGATTTTATTCTAATTGACTTGAATTAGAAAGGTGTATATGGAGTCTTGAAGATAATGCTCCCTATGAAGATGAAGCTTAAGTTACTACTTAATGTTACAGTCAGAGGTTTTAGTCAAATCCAGAAAACAACAAGAACAGAATTTCTCACCAAGAACTGACTTACTTCTCTCTCCCATAGATCTACTATTATTATACCACGATTGATTAGTTATTTCCATATCTTCATACGTTGAATTAGTATCCATATAGAATAAGCTTTGTAAAGGCTGAACACTTTTATTCATAATATCACAATTATCCAAAAGCGATAATAAATACATGACAGCAGTGAGATGTGAATTGGACAGAGAGCCAGTACAAAATGGGCTTTTAAATTTTACAGATGAAATAATAGGCGGAGGTAGCCAACATTCATTGATTTGATCGAGTTCTTCACTAGGGAAAAAAGTATCATATGATGAACTCAAGTGGTTCAATGGTATAGATTTTCAGTGATGGTATTTTCAAAAGTAACAATTTAACCTGGACACGTGTTGTTCCTTACAGTATTTTCTCTTCACCTTAAATGACTACAGATGTGAAAGTTCGAGACAATGTGACTAACTTTAAGAATTATTCTTAGTTTCAGTTAGTTAATTAATTTTTAATGATCATAAGACCATGGTTTAATGTCGTCCGATTGCAGCTGAACAGTTCTAACTTATACAGGGATTAGGATAAGCTCTCATCAAGTAAGATATAAATATCTACCCTACGGACGACAGGGAATATGACATAATAACACATACAGGAAAGGACAACAAAAAGGAAATAATTCTTAATTTCTAAAAGGTTTTCAGTCTCGTGAAGACTGGGTTTGAAAACTAACATATATCTCCATCAATTTTATTTTACTTAGCTGAACGTCCAAAAAGTTTAAAGTTTGTTTGATCTAGAATAATGATATATATATAGTTTTTTAGAATGTCATTAGGTATAAAGCTTAAAAGAGCTCTTACATATGAAATCAAGTGGGACACAAATAGTGTAGCTAGAACATTGAAAAACATGCCAAATAGACAGTATCTTACTGGTTAAGACGTTTGGCTTTCATCCACTTTGTTCCAGGTTTGAAACCACCTTCATTTACTTCGCTTTGGGCAGTTGAGTAATATCAAAAGCCATCAGAGTGTTGCACATAACCAAGTAATTGGTGAATGAGTAGTTAGTTGAAACTGAACACGTAAAGTGCCATATATGACGTTTAGGATTTCAGTTTGATACTGAAATGAAATTCCTTATATGTAGATGATTCACGGCCTGTGCATGGTAACGTGTTCAGATTCACTAACTTTCACATGGTAGTAAGAATAGAGAGTTGAACATGAACAATTCGATAATAACTGGCCAATGGCTGTATTTTTAAGTTGATGAGGGAACTCTACCTTGTAGCATTTTTTTCAAGCATGACATCAAGTAATTTATCGTACTGTTGAACGGGTAGATTTAACCGCCAAACACGAAAAAAACAGCATTAAAAACCACATTGGATATCCTATTTGCCCATAAAGGAGGATTAAGAAGAAAACGAAAAAGCTTACTGAGAGACACTTACATTATTTGTTCAACTAATACTAATGGGCTGACGTTTAAATTAGATTTCGTACGATCAAAAAGATTAGCTTTCCAATGAGGCCATTGAGGTTGAGCTTGGAGAATATGCAGGATCTTTCTACAGTCCGTAGTTAGATCAACGATGCTTTGTGTGTTTACTTTTGTATCAAGATGAGCTAAAGGAAAATAGAGATAGAATCCCTAGAATATATATATATATATATGAAGTAGTCTCATTCAAACCTCAGATTATTCTAATCTGGAAAACTTGTGAATATACAAAACTACATAACTGTTGTCAAAATTAGTAATTTGGTTGACGAGGCTGAAAATCTTTATCAACTAAGGTGACTGAGACATGTCTTACGTATGTCCAAGTACTGCCTACTTTAACGTCTAATGGTGAGTGATAGAAGTAGGTCGGCAGAAAGCTAAACGTGGAATCAGCCCATGAAGTATTTGACTGTTGATCTGGGATGTATCAATAAGTATATACTACTTGGTTGGGAGATAATCGTGAACAATAGTTGGAGATTATAGATGGCATGCATGGCTGAGAATCGGTCACAGTGGCGTAGATACATTCATATTTTATCTTCCTCTGAATATTTTACATACATTATTCATTTTCCATTCTCTTTTCCAGTAATATAATTGATGCTACCATTATTTCAACTCCTTCGCCTTTCATTTTGATAAGTTCATCTCTCTGTGTTGACGTAATGTGGTAACAATCAATGACAATCTTACTTCAATGCGTACTATGTATGATTAACTACTTCGGATACTTCTTAAGGGTAAACTAATCCAGATATAACGTAAAAATATATAAGTGCTGGTCATGAGGTGTTGTACTTTACGCCAATGAATTCGAAAACATATAATGAAAAGAGAGGAAGTGTGAAAATATCACTAGTAATAATAATAATAATAATAATAACAATAATAATAATAATAATAATAGGAAGAAGAATATAAGGTAAGAAGATTGTTGAGAAGGATGAAGAATGGAAACCAAAGAATATAAAGCTTAAGATTTTAAGAAGAGTAATCAATGAATGGGTCAATCACTGAGATCGAGTTTGACTCAAATCATTGACGGTTTCCAACCATAGGTAACAAATTATCTTATCAACGCCAAAGACAAGGAAGCTTGGATCTCCCAGAAAGACGTAAAAACGGTGAACTACTTCATGGAAAGATGTCATGTCATTATCTGACCAACTGTTTATTTATTTCAGCTTACATCCATGCTACTTAACTTTCATATTCAAACAGGTGGCTGAGCATGTGTGACACGGATGCAAACCAACTCAATTGATGAGGGTTTATAAGCTGATTAATTGACTGATCAATTCTCTTTAGAAAAACAACAATTAAACTCATAATTAACCAACTTGATGCCTCCATTAAAGATAATTAAACTGAGAACTATTAACCTAAATATACGGTAGTATTCATCATCACAACATAGTGAATAGTAAATACATGCAGACAGAGATATGATTCAATGATATGAACTTGGAAACTTCCAACCCAATTTATATATTCCACTTTGGACTACTTAGTATTACTATTAGACCTCATGCATCAGGTGCGGTTTATTACATGGTGCAAAAAAATATCTCCAGAAATAAGCTGAAAATGTCCATCAACATTTTAGTAGAGTTACTCGCAACAATACATATAACACCAAACTAGAAAAAAAACTCGAAGAGTACTTACGTGATTGCATTCGATTAATTAAAGGAGGTGCATTATTCCATAATAGAATTTCCACATCTTGTAAATGACGTAGAACAGAAAATCCCCATCGACGAATAACTATAACAGTACCATCTTCATTGGGAAACATCTTTTCTGATGTACTACTACCATTAGTAGTAGTAGTATCCGCAGTACCTAAACGTAATAATCCTAAAGGTTGCAAACCATGTTCATGATAATCAATAGCCGTAGCATAAAATGTCTTTAACATTGTTTTGAAACCAGCATGATCGAGATTTGGAATTAGCTGCCAGAAGGAGAAATAATTAGTCATAATGAAAGCAATTGAGTGAGCTACAACTATAAGTCAGTCAGTCATCTACAATGTAAGACCAGGTACATATATGCATCGGTTCAAGTTGTTACACCTCATTAGCACAACAAGATGAACGCCGAATTCATTGAAGTATCTACTTCAATGGTAGTAATACGTAAAAGAGAGATTGCATATAAAGATATAATATAAGGAGAATCAGTTTATGGAAAGGTATAAAGTAGTCTCACAGCTTAAGGGAAGACAGAGTGTATCTGCCCACGCCATTGTGATCTCTTCTGAGTCATTTCACACAGTCTCTAAACATTGGTTATGATAGTCACGCGGACCCCAACCAAGTAGTCTGCATCTACCAACGTGGCTCAGACTAGAAGTTAGTGACTTAAAGGACTGACACTACATCTTGGTTTGGCCACCCCTAACTTTCGTCCAAACATCCCCAACACTATTCAGCGTTGCGCGCCGTGGTAATCGGTGTTCAGGCATACGCAACACGTGGCCCAACCATCTCACTCGGTGAAGATTCAAAACCTCATCCCTGATACCCTGGCGTCTGACCTCACTACTACTTACCCGTTGGTCCCAGCTGATGCCAGTAATATTTCTAAAACATCTGTGATCGAATACTAGCAACTTACGAGTATCTTCTACTCTTAATGGCCACGTTTCGCAGTCATAAATTAAAACAGAACAAACTACTGCGCAGTAAATTCGTCCTTTTATTGACAGACGGATATCTCGCCTTTGCTGTAGGTGACGTAAGTTGACGAAAGCCAAACGAGCTTTCGACTTCGTGCTGAGATTTCGTCAGACACCAACTTATTAGGACTGATCAGACTTCCAAGATAAGTGAAGTTGTCAACGCGTTCGACTACTTCACTCCCTATCCTTAGTTCAAGTGTTGACGTAGGCCAGTCCTGAAGCAACAACTTGCATTTAGGAGGGTGGGAGAAACGTATCCCAAACTTCCTGGTATTGTTGCTCAGTGCTACCATAAGACTATTTTATCAGTGTCGTTACCAAACAGGACTGTCATTTGCTTATCCTAAGTCGATAAGTGGACCACTTGGTAGGAGATCGATTCCCGAAAATTCAGATGGCGAGAACGTTATTTACAGCAGTTGGCAAGGTCTACCTGTAATTTTGAGGGAACTGGAGCTCCCTATTGAATTCGACCCCGTGTCATTCAGATTTAAGACGTTACCACTGAGCTCCTGTAAGATTAGGATATTTGCAATTAACTGATCTCTGAGTAATAAACAGTGACATGTTTGTTTAGTTCATTTTTTCAGAAAGTGTCAACATAAGATGGTCAGAATACCATGAGAATCCATAAACTTTCATCGTGAAAATTGTTAATGACTATGTACTACGACTTTACCATTTGGTTTAACACGCATATTTATGTATATGAAAGGTAATTAAAAACCAACAACGAGAAACTAACCTTATCCAACAAAGTTCGATGTATAAAAACACGCATTTCATGAAGATTACTGACGGTGAACACTGAATCACAATCCAAGAGTGAATAACTTTCACAAAGTGACTAAAAACATGAATTTAACCAAGAAACGTAGTCAAAAAAATAATGATGCTTTAAAGGTTCAGTTAGTACAAAGGAAGAACCAAGCTAACTATTAGTCAAATAAGATATAAAACAAAATACAAACCTTGGTGAAAATTAGATTCTCTTCATAATTTTTTAAGTCGTAAGAGATTATTGTAAATTTTTACTGAGGGATTTTTTAATGTGAATAGATTAAAACAGAGTCCACTCCATCACTCAATATGATCCTGTGGAACAACATCAAAAGGTCCACACAACTAATAGCAAAAATAGCGATCGAAAATTACGTATATCATTCTCTCCTGGGAACAGAGGTCGACATTCAACTTACATACCGCCTAATCTATAGAATCCAATCAGTCCTCCGAAGATACTTAATAATAGTGATTTGCAGAGAAATCATTTAGACGAACACGTAGACACAACCGTAAATAAGTATGTTGACACCTAACTAGTGTTATAGACGAGTGGTCAGAAAAGTAGACACATAAATTTACACAAAGAACATCACGAACTGCGACCAAGTTTATGAGCTAGTAGTGCAGTCAGTCAGTCAGTCAGCTACAACGTAGGACCAGGCACATATGTGCATCGGTCCAGGTTGCCATACCTCATTAGCACAGCAAGATGAACACCGGATTCATAGGAGTGGTTAGGTCAAAGGTTGCAATTAGGATATAGTATAGGAAGAAAGAATTAGTTCGTAGACAGAAAGAATGAAGTGATTTTAGTCTCTTAGTTTAAGGGAAGACAGGGAGTGTATACACCGACGCCACTGTGATCGATTCTGAGCCATGTCACCAAGAGTCTCCAACCATTGGTTACGAAAGTCACGCGGACCCCAACCAAGTAGTCTGCATCTACCAACGTGGCTCAGACTAGAAGTTAGTGACTTAAGGCACTGATGCCACGTTTTGGTTTGGCCGCCCCTAACTTTCTTCCAACCATCCCCGACCCCGGTTAGCATTGCACGTCGTGGTAATCGGTGTTCAGGCATACGTAATACGTGGCCCAACCATCTCAGTCGATGAAGATTCATAACCTCATCAACTGATTTACCATCATTCCCTAATACCCTGCGTCTAACCTCACTATTACTTACCCGGTGATCCCAACAGATGCCAGCAATATTTCTAAGGCATCTGTGGTCAAATACTAGTAGCTTACGGGTGTCTTCTACTCTTAAGGGCCATGTTTCGCTGCCGTAAATTAAAACAGAACGAACTGCCGCGCAGTATACTCGTCCTTTTATTGATAGACGGATATCTCGCCTTCGCCAAAGGTGACGCAAGTTGGCAAAAGCCAAACGAGCTTTTCGAATCCGTGCTGAGATTTCGTCCGATACCAACCCATTAGGGCTGATCAGACTTCCAAGATAAGTGAAGTTGTCAACGCGTTCAACTACTTCACTCCCTATCCTTAGTTCAGGTGTTGACCCAGACCAGTCCTGAAGCAACAACTTGCATTTAGAGGGAGAGAAGCGCATCCCAAACATTCTGGCATTGTTGCTTAGTGCTACCAGAAGACTCTGCATTTTCTCAGCGTCTTCACCAAACAGGACTATGTCATCTGCGTATTCTAAGTCGATAAGTGGACCTCCTGGAAGGAGATCAATACCCGAGAATTCAGTCGACGAGAGTGTTATTTCCATCAATAGGTCTATGATGAAGTTAAACAAAAATGGAGAAAGTGGACAGCCTTGACGGACACCACTTGAGGTTGCAAAAGTAGATGACAGTTCGCCATAAGCCCTGACTCGACTAGTAGTGTTCGAGTAAAGAGCCTTCACAAGGTTTATGTACTTCTGAGGTACGCCTTTCAATGACAGACACTGCCACAGAGTCTCGCGGTCTACCGAGTCAAATGCTGCTTTTAAGTCAAGAAAGACCACCATCGTCGGACGCCGATAGGTATGCCTGTGTTCTAGAACCTGACGAATGGTGAATATGTGGTCGATGCAGCCACGACCAGGTCTAAAGCCAGCTTGGTTCTCTCGAGTTTGTAGTTCACGAGTCTTAGTTAGGCGTTTGATAATTATCGAGGCCAGTATTTTAGATACTATGTTTGTTAAACTAATCCCTCTGTGGTTGTCACAGGATGATTTTGACCCTTTCTTATATATTGGGACGATAAGTGATTGCGACCAGTCAGATGGGATAAAGTCTAATTCCCAGATCTTAGCTAAAATATTAGTCAACTTAATCGCTAAAATTGGACCACCATCCTTAAAGACCTCTGGAGCCAATCTATCTGGACCAGCTGCCCTTCCTCGTTTCAGATTAACTATAGCCTTTTGAACTTCAGCAAGAGTAGGGGGACCTATTTCAATGTTCCATTCACACTGTCTGGGAATGGAGGGTAGTTGTAGAGTAGCTGAAGGCCAGCTGAACTGTTCTCTAAAATGTTCCGCCCATCGTTCTAAACGTCTGGACTGGGAGCAGATGAGAGTATCATCTTTTTCCGAAATAATCTCACTTACACTTGACTTACTAATTCCAGTTTCTTTTATTAGTCTGTAAAGCTGTCTTGTGTTCCCTATAGTCGCCGCCTTTTCCATCTCTTTTGCTTTCGTTACCCACCACTGCTCACGGTCGTTCTTTAGACTTTTTCTTAACCTAGATCTGATTTGTTTTCGCTCTTCATCATGTTCAGGACCTGATGGGACGAGTTTGCGAGAATCCATCAGTGTGACAGACCTTGAAGAAATCCACTGGTTCCTTGCAACTCTGTGGTTTAAGTCACTAATAGATGTCACTGCTGTTTCCACAGCTGATTGTATGCCCTTCCAAGCAACATCTGGGTCAGCCTCGTCTTCACAACTACCTAAGTGTGACCTCAGTTGTTCCTGGAACCTACTTTTGGTTTTCTCGTTACTCAAATCAGTTCTAACGGGTCTTTTTAATGTGGCTTTTTTGCGTCCAGTGAGGCGCAAGCAGATGCGTGCCCGTATTAGGGCATGGTCGGAGTCCAAGCAGGTACTCCAGAATGAGCGACAATCTTCTACCGATCCTCTCCAACGATGACTGATGGCAATATGGTCTATTTGAGTCCATCGTTGGTTTGGTGTAGGGGGTCGCCATGTTAGACGATGTAGTGCAATTCAGTAACTAAGTGCAGATTTATTTACTTGGCGCTGAATCACGCGATTTGTGTAGGCTAGTGAATTAACTATACTACCCAAACTAAAATAAGTGACGCAGGGTTCTAACCCGATTTTTTGATGGGTTTCTTAATAGGTAAGCTACCAACTCAATTGTTTTTCGAAATGAATAAACCGAGGAAAATGGTATATCTCCTTGGTTGAGTAAAACCACGATAAAATTTACCTGATGTTAAACGTCATTATGTAATGTAGTTTAACCAAGGTAAACTTTAAGATGGGGGATAAACAAGTATCCATGAGAAAAATGAAAAAAAAACTTACTTTGAATGCATTTGCAATCGCAAACCAGGACAGACAACCAGGGTGAAAAAGTTGATCCAAAAATATATGTAACTGAACATCAACACTAGATTCATCCCATAGATTGTCTGTTGGGCTATCATCTGAGGATTGTGTTAAATAAGTAGGATGTTTATACCAGCTAGGCACAGGTTCAAGAAGATTTACACCAGGAGGGAAAGCTGAAATAGTTCCCCTACGTTTTTTAGTATCACAATCTGGGTTTTGAATTTCTGTCCACCTGACAAAGTAATTACTGTCCATCTCAGTGTCTTCAGCGTTTGTTTGGTGTGCTATCCACCATATCCCGCCTAAAAGAAGTTTATGTAGTTATATTAAACCTGCGAATATTGAATCGCATGCAAATTTGACATTTATAAACTAGCAGTAATAATAATATGTATAGCCCATGATTCGTATTAAAAGGGAAAAGTCAGAAGAAGCGATTGTAGGAATGGCTCCCGAACAACCCGGTGTAGTCAATGTAAGGATAGTCCATTCACACACGGTTACAAACGTGTATTTGTTTACAAGGAAATTCTACACGACACATCAAATGACAGGAATGATTTAACTAAAGTGAGAATGAAAACGAATGCCCGATGTTTAAATCAGATTGATGAGCAAAGAAAGTTCACCCAGGGAAATCAAAAGTCTGATCTAAACCTATTGAAACACATGGTCTATAAAATTCTACATGAACGAATGATCTGTGAAGCTTCTTTGGGCACAATATTTTTTTATTTTTATTTATTTATTTTAACACACAGATATTGGTACAAGGAGGCACCAAATAGATATGCGCCACACAAATCTAATTCGATATGTGTGAGGGCTGTGAGACTGCCCGGGTGCCCTAACCGAAGTAGGTGGTTTTCATAAGGAGCCACACCCCGAGCCTTCGACCTAAAGGTCTGATCCACAAGGCAGTGGAGCATCGTAAGGAGATACAGCCCCATGGAAGCCGGTGACCAACAATTGGTTCATAAACCATTTGTTCCCGCAGGATACTGGAGCCCGTGTGCACCATTGTTTTTGGATCCGGTTAAAGCACCGGCCATTCGCTTGCCGTCCTCTCATTTTCGTAAACAACACCCCCGCCACGAGAACAATATACCGAAAAATGTATTGCCTGACGTTGCCCTACTGACCATTTAGTGAGACTTACAACTCAATGGTTCGAAAGTTATTAGCGGGATATAGATTGGATTAAGGAATGTTCCATACAGGATTGTGTTGGGGCACACTGACTGACTATTTCTTATTCAATCAGCGCCAGTGGATACTTGGAGAAGACACTAGAATCTTCTTATGTAAATATTACAAACATGCTAACGCTTTTCTTGTTGTGATTCCGACTTTCATCTACTCCAGTTATTTGGAATATAATTTCATTCTTGTTCGACTGTGTTCTGGCTTGAGGACTAGTCGAATGAAGTGGTGTCCAATACTAATCAATAAAAGTAGCTGCGTTGTAATAAGATAAATTATAACAGAGGTAGATACTTCAAAATACCACCTGCTACTTCAGAAAACGTAGCATGGTACTGTTCTAGCTCTCGTGATATTTTGATGCAAGTAATGTTGGTCAGTAGGGAATATATTTTATGCCTTAATTCGCCCTTAAAATTAAACTTTAGTATGATGATAATCATCCTGAAACTCCTGGGCCTCACGAAACATTTCTTACTTCTAGGTGTATGGAAACAAAATTATTTAGTATTTGGATGTTTTATAGAGCTCTTTGATATGACCAGGAGTGACACGTAGACAAGTAAAAACATAAAATTTTAACTACATAAAGTGAGATAATATTTTTTTTTAAAAAAGATTGGTATTTACCGAGAGCTTTTTTATGCTTTTTTCTGCTTTCAGACGAATCATCTAAACAGCCTGGTCTCTGGATTACTTGTGAGGGAATAAAATCCAAAACACTAACATCTGGTCTTTTTATTTTAGGCAACATGTTCAGACCACTCTTGTGTGGCCATAACTCTGCGTTATTTCCCCACGAAGGTTGAAATAGTGGTTCTACTCTTAGTACACTTAAACTTTCTCGATTACGACTTAGAGCTTTGTTGATATCCAGATGCATCCAACACCAGTAGCTTGAATTTACTTCCTCAGAAGGGGTAGTATCGAAACTAATGCTGTTGGATGAAGACAAACACAGAGACATGTATACAACTAATGTGATACCACGATCAGATGCGGGATAGGAAGATAGACGGTGACACAAACCAGGTGCAAACATCGAGTGTGATGCAGATGGATCATAAGTAGAATCAAGACCAAACGTCTTGGGTAAAACCTCCAGAAGATCTAGTACAACAAAACAGCTGCGATGCTAAATTAATATAAAAAATGCATAAATTGAGAAAACAGTAAAATCTGCATGAAAGACATGAGTATCTGAGCTTATAAAATAAGATCTACAGTTTGTAGCGAAGTGAATACTCGCTATTTAAACGCCGGCCGAATTGTAGATAAAATTCAGGGAAACATTATTAATTGAATGACCTTATTTTGAATCAATGACGCGACATCTTGAATCCAACCTCATCGAATTTAGTTTCGACAGCTGGGCAGTAGGTTGTTCAAAACCCGAAAAAGATTGACTCGCGAGGAGCAGGCTGATTTTCGTTCTGGTCGAGGATGTATCGATCATATCTTCACTCTCCGCCAAATGTTAGAACACTGTCATACTTATCACAGACCAACAATCGTAGCGTTCCTTAACATCAGGGTTGCCTTCGATTCGTTGGACAAAACTGTTCTCTGGGACTGTCTATTGAAGAAGGGTGTGCCTGAGAAGTTTATTAACATCCTAAAGACCCTACATACAAACACTTCAGGCAGAATGAAGGTATACAACCACCTTTATCCATTGTTCCATTCAAGCAGTGGGGTTAGACAGGGTTGCCCAATCTCACCATTCCTCTTCAACTTTGCCATCGATGACATTCTGGAAACAGCTCTGATGGGTGTAAGTAATGGCAGTGTGGATCTGTTGCCTGGAGAAATACTTCTCGACCTAGAGTATGCGGATGATGTCGTCTTACTGTGCGATAATGCTTACCCTGGATGGTGAGTAGATAGAAGTAGTCGTGTACCTAGGTAGCTAAATAAGCGCTGGTGGTGGCGTGAGTGATGAGATCGATTCACGTATAATGAGAGCCAGAGCGTCTTATGCCAATCTGGACCATTTTTGGCACCTTCGTGATGTTAGTCTGGCTGTAAAAGGTCGGATCTACAACGCGTCGGTGAGAGCAGTTCTGCTGTATGCTTGTGAAACGTGGCCTCTCCGAGTTGAGGATGTTAGACGACTCTCTGTGTTTGACTATCGTTGACATCCAGTGGCAACACTATGTTAGTAATGCAGAAGTTCGGCATCGTTTGTCCGAGCAGAGACGATATGTCAATTAGTGTTACTATCTTGAAACGTCGACTTCGGTGGCTTGGATATTTTCTGCGAATATCGTCCCAGAGAATTCCTCACCGCGCATTATTTGCCGACGCCTGGACTGGTTGGAAAAAGCGGAGAGGTGATCAGTTTATGACATGGTGTCGGGGTATGAAAGAAAGCTGCAAAGGGCTGGCTTGTGTTGGTCCTTCACGACTCCCTGACTGGGGTCCGAGAGATGGTGCAACACAGTGGCTAGAGAAGTTATCAGATATGGCTCAGAATAGAAGCCAGTGGCGATCCTGCTGTAACCTTCCTTTACTTTTTTCATAAAAAGTGGTTGTATCTTCCTTACCTGAAAGAATTCTCTCTAGTTGTACCTGTCCGTTTCCCCCATTAATATTATTATTACACTACCTTACACTAATCTGGTCGTTATTGTTCCTCTTTTTTTTCTTTTACGTTCCTTACCTTTTTTCCCTCATTCTCAGTGTCTTGTGTGGAGCATATGTATTTGTTGCCCCTTGTACCAATATTTGTGTGTTCAAATAAATAATAAATAATCATAAATAAATATGGAAATATCAGGGGCATTAATCTTGTTATAAATAGTTGAGTAAAAGCATCAGTAACGATTGATAAGATACACCACAAACATTAAGAAACGGGAACAGCTTGATGACAAAGCGGAAAAGAATAATACTTGCCTTGAGGTCCCATATCCTCAAACGGTGATCTTTGCAAACAGTGGCTAGGAAGTACTCATCGGATCCAAGACTCAAAAAACTTATGTCTAGTGGTGAGGAAGAAGAATCGTTGTCGTTTTTGCTGAAATTAAAAATATATTAGAACATGAGAATTACCTAGAAAACGGCGTAATACCGCACCATATCTTCTGAATCATTGAAGTTTGACATAGCTCAAAAACTTCAGTGACTTCTGTGGGTAAAACGAAAAGTATGAGAAATTTTAATTACTTCACTACTAAAGTGGTCAATAGAACTTAAATAAATAAACCAATATATCTACATGTTTCTTCTAACTAATTCACCAAATCCAAATCCAAATAAGTATGAGGGCCGGTGATATAACTAGTACTCTAACCACTGAGGCACACCTCTGGTAATTCGCACACAAAATGTTTTATGGATGGTGGTATTACGTTTTGCTGGATTGTGTATGTAGTTTCTATTATAACACCATAAGTATATAATCAATAATTTTTTTAATTGATTGTTCATAGGAAATATTCGAAACAACTTAGGTCAAAATTATACGCAATAGGCATTATGATAAAAGTTATTAACCCAATAAGTGTTTGAATTTATGCCTAATACCATCCGATTATTGATATCACAACTAAAGAAGTTCGTGGGGAATCAGCTAGGTTATTATGAAGACTAAGATTTTGAAGCCTTTAAATGTCCTAAAAAAGTAGGTACAAAAAACGTAAAATGAACCACCTAAACTCTAATTGCAACAACTCAATCTACTAGGAACAGTTTGCTTTAGAAAATATGAAGGGTTAAATAAGGTAATGTCATTAGTTACGACTCTTTACCGGAAGAATTATGTGGATTCACCCTTGCAACGAGTATGGAACCCGTAGACAATCCATAGGCAAAGACCAAGACACCAGAATGACTCTGAATAAAGGCTGTTCCACAACGGATGTTCATCGGCTGAAGCCCTTTTATTTGATGGAAAGTATGATGAACGTTTCTCTTGCAACCGATAATGGACTGTTGAACAGAAGTTGCAATCTAGATGTATATTGAAGTTTATTATTATTTGATTACCACACGTGGATGAGGGAACATCAGCTGTGAGGCCCCGTGAGAAGTGCACACAAGGCACGCAATGTTTTCAGGAGTTTCAGCTATCTGGCAATCAACTATAGCGGAACCTCCGAAAGAGATTTTCATAACATTATTTGGGAGGTCATGATGTAGAGACAGTTCTTGCAACTCTAGCATGTCTTCATGTGAACGCCTAAAAGTATGTGGATTAATTTTCATCTTACCATAAAATAAAACGACTCTTCGAAGCAACTGCTGAGTCAGAAAAGGTGAACCCACCAGCTTTGTCAGGAAAACTAACATCTTGTAGCGTTCTCAAAAATGTGTCTGATTCTTAGCTTTAATGTGAAATTTAATTACCACAATTTATCTTGATGGTAGGGATGTCTCCAACTGCTAGACTGTCTAGAGCATATAACTCAGATAATGCGACAGACATGACCCCAGATCAAATAATGTTAGAGGACGTCCAAGTGACCTTCGAAACAAAATCAAAATTATGCATCAAATATCCAATCTCTAATTTATTCAAATTGTTGTTGATGGAATATAACACTGTTTCCCATTCCAGTGTCAGTGGTTTACCCACTTCTTCAGGCAGGGATTTTGTACTTGTTGTGACTATCCTTGCTTTTGTGTAACTGTTGCATCAAAAGCATTAAAGTACTTTAGTTAAGGTTTGAAATCTTGCTAAAGTTCGTCTTGTGGTACCCCTCTATTCATTGACTGGCACTTGTGTTAATATTGTGATCATATTGTGCTTTACACCTTAATCTGACTAAAATGATTGGTAGTACTCATAAATGTGGACAACCAAACTGTTTGTTCCCTGTGGAGGAAGGAATGCAGTGTGCTGAATGCAAAAAGTGGTTCCATAAGATGTGTAACCGTTTAAGTCCCACCCCATACAAAAGATGTTTGAAGCCTAACTCATAATGGCTTTGAATGTTCTGCTGTACAAATAAGACGTTACTAATACAGTATGCTATGAGCCTATTTGCTTTGGCCTGTAACGATGGCGCATGCGCTGATAACACGAGCACTGACAGTGACGAATGTCTCAGTGTAGTACCTGCTGTTACGAGACACCTCAAACACTCGACTTTGATTGACGGAAAAGTGAAATCTCCGTTAACGTTAACGTGGGGAGAAGTACCACCTGACATTTACATTGGTAACCATGCACCTCTAGTGAAAACTGAAGATCTGGATAAAACCGTCACTGTTCTAAATAGTCCCAGTGTCCTGAAGGATGAAAAATGGACTACAGTACGGAGGAAACGAAAAGAAAAAAGCTGTAGGCAGTACTCAGCTCGTTAGCAAGTCATCGGTGATCTCCTATTGTAAGTCACAAAATGCACTACCAAAATCTGATAGTAAGAGAGAAACCCACCCTAGCGTGACTGAGAAGAAGAATCTAATATCATCGAATATTATTGTGAGGAAATTGCTCGAGTCAAACGACCCTGATCCCAAAATTAGACACACATATGATTTAGAAAAGCTGGGAGAATATATTCGTAGTATCTTACCAGATAACTCTAAAGGAGTTCAGGTCAAAAAACTGGTTAGAATAGACAATGTTGAACCCCGACCATGTAGACTCCTTAAGGTAATCCCAAGATCGGAGAAGCAACGGGATCTCCTGTTAAGTAGTGCTCGTTGACACGACAATTCCGACATCCGAATTAAACTTGATATGTCACTCGAAGATAGAATGAAAAGGAAGAAAGCACTAGCTGTACCAAAAACCAGTCAACAAAGCGGTGAGGAAAATTTCCGATTAGTGGGTTTTCGGATAGTTAGGTCATGGAAGCGAATGCTACCAAGGCCTGTGTGGATAGGCCGTTTTACCTAGGAGTTTTATATCCCAATGCTCGTAGTATAAGAAACAAGTTCTATCAACTGGAAGCATTAGTGGACAGATTAAGGCCACTCATTGTAGCAGCGACAGAAACTTGGTTAGTCTTGGACTTAGACATTACTCCAGAATTATCCGAATACCATCACTTAAGGAGTGATAGACATGGATGTAGAAAAGGAGGTGTCATCCTGTTATATATAGCCAATAATATAAATATCCGCTCCTCTGCTAGCGAATCCCATGACAGCGGTACTTGTGAAGTCATTAGCTGTAAGTTGACTATCGGATTTATTACTTTTGTGCTCGGTGTCATCTATCGCAGCCCAATCTGCTTAGCTGATGACTATTTTAGAGTACATTTATCTTTGTAGTGTAAATACCAGATGCTTGGTAATAGGAGACTTTATTGCACCTGATGTTAGTTGGACTGAGATGACCACGGAAGGATCTATAAATTTCTTTGATAGTAGGTTCCTAATAACAATAATGGAGCGAGCATCAGTGCGGTATGCATCCAAACACACGTTTTGGTGCTAACCAAGGTTCTTCTCTGTTGGACTTGGTAATCACTCATGAGACTGAGGATATTGTCGACCTAAATATTCTTCCGCCATTAGTGAACAGCGATTACGCTGTTTTGTCATTCATGTTTAGAACTAGGGACATGCTATACGATCAGGTTACACCCCGCCCAAATGTATGGAAAGCTAACATATCAGCCATTCAGGAATGCGCTGCTAAGACAGATTGGTTTGTAGATACTAGCTTATCACTTGAAGATGCATGGTCTGTATTTAGAGGTAAGTTTAGTTTAGTTACGTCCTCGTTCATACCATACCTGGTACCGCGAAGACCGAATAACGGTCCACCATGGATAGCTAAACCAGTCAGAAAAATTCTTAGAGGGAAGAAGCATCGGAATATGATTAGCTCTACTGGCTTAGAACAATACAGATCCAGTTATTGTAAGATCAGGAATGCCTGTAAAGCGTTAATAAGTAAGACTAGACGATCATATGAAAAACAATTAGTTAGGGATTCTAGATACAGTCCGAAACGGTTATTCTCATATTTAAAAAGGCGAACTCAGAGAAGCGATGGAAGTCCACCACTTTTGATGCAAGAAAATCCGTTAATCTTGGCAGAAAGTGATACCGAAACAGCTGAAGCTTAATCGGAATATTTCAGTAAAGTTTTTTCTATCGGTAATGAGGAACTATCAACGATTCACTGTGATCGCGGTGGCTCGCTGATAGACACTGTAGTCGTAGAGAAAGGTACTGTTTTAAGGCTACTTCAGCATCTCAAACCTGATAAGTCCAGTGTTCCTGATTATATTCATTCTAAGGATTATGAAAGCCATGTCAGATGTAATTGCTGAACCATTAGCGATACTGTTTGACATGTCGCTAAGGCAGTCCAGACTGCCCAGAGACTGGAAAGACGCTATAATAAGTCCGGTGCATAAGGCTGGGAGTAGGGATTTAGTTAGTAACTATAGGCTCGTTAGCTTAACTAGTGCAGCTGTAAAACTGATAGAAAAAATCATTCGGATATCTGCTATAAACTATTTAGAAGGGCATAATCTTCCCTCCAGGGAACAACATGGTTTTCGGAGAGGCCTATCATGCTTGACAAATCTTCTCATTGCAAGAAAACATTGGGCAGCTGCAGAAGATCAGAATATTCCTGTGGATGTGATCTTCATAGATCTAAGTAAGGCCTTTGATAATGTCTCACACTCTGGTCTTAAATTCAAACTGGAACGTTTGGGAATCCATTATACAGTCTCAGACTGTATAAGTAACTTTCTGCATGACAGGAGACAAAGGATAAGGGTAAATGAGGCTTTCTCCTCGTGGGTACCTGTAAAAAGTGGAGTTCCCTAAGGTACAATCTTCGGTCCTCTTCTCTTTTTACTTTGTGTAAATGAATTACCAATTATAGCAAAATCATCCATTCTACTCTTCACTGATGACATGAGAATTTGGAGACCTATACATAGTATGTCGGACAGGATAGTATTACAGAATGATCTTAGCTCATTGGTGGCATTGTTGGACAGGTGGTCACTAGAAGTAAATCCTAATAAGAGTGTAGCGATGCAAATAAGTAATTATGATGGATCGTATCACTACACAAAATGTTGATTCGTGCTACCCAAAGTAAGAAACTATAAAGATTTAGTAGTCATACTAAGCAGTGATCTCAAAACCACTAGTCACCGTAAGGCTACTGCTGCGAAAGGCTATAGGGTACCATGGTCTATTCGTAGGTCTTTACAGTATTTAGATGATGTAATGTTTAGATGATTATACCCGATTTATGTTCGACCACATTTAGAATATGGGATTCACGCAGCGAGTTCTTGTTTCAAGTATGAATCAGATATACTAGAAAGAGTCCAACGTTGTGGTCCTGAGGTGGTGCAAGGTCTATCTGGCCTATCTTATTAAGACAGACTGTGAGACCTTAACTTATTTCCGTTACCTTACCGCAGAGTACGGGGTGATCTAATATTGGCTCATTGTATACTGAACGATGACCTTGGTATTAACATGTCCTCTTTTATTTCCGTCTAGGACTGATCATTTGAGAGGACATTCGAAGAAAGTTCAAAAACCGAGATCAAATCGTTTACGTCTGGAGTTTCGTTTTTCGCACCGAGTAGTGAATTACCGGAATTCTCTACTGTTGATATATTCAAAACGAGATTGAACCTCCACAGTATTACAAACTGCAAGGAATAATATAGGTCGATAGACCTCCTATCCTTATTACTGAAGACTGAAGTGAAACAAACAGAACTGGGAGAAATACTAACAAATTACCGTGCGATTCTATTCCATATCTCTAAGAGTATACTAAGTTTACATACGAATGGCTACAATGAACTTTCATAAATCATTTAAGTCTTCGTTGAATTCAGAAGCCTTATCACTCGTAATCAGTTAAACCTTGTTACATCTCCGAATTCCGAATATCACCCTAAAATGAGAGAAGTAATATAGTGTTCCAGAACATGGCCGTTGGATGATAGCATATTATAGGTCGTTATATGATCACCTATGAATTGATCTGGTTCTTAGGAATAACGGTTCTCGTTTTAACTCGTTTCACACGTGAAGATAGTTAACACGGACTTATTTTGTAATTAGCTTTTGTTATTATTTGCATTGTTCATTAATGCTCATAGTTTGTACAGTAACAGTGTCAAGCCCACAAAGGACATCCTGGCTTCATTCTTCTTTAATCACATTTGTTGGTTATTCATTTTTTAACCTTGACCGTTTTTATATAGAAGTGTGTGGCAATCCCATACCCTACTCACTACATGTCTGTAACCTACTTTTGTCTGGCTATAAATATCGAGTTACGCCTGGGCAAATGGATTTGGCTCACTCGTGCTTTACGATCCACTTCACTCTCTCCTCTTCGCTTTACCCTTTCTTATCCTGGATCTCTGTCTGGATAAACGAATGCTTAAAACAAATTCATCCAACGCCACCCGTATTTGGCTTCTTATCAACGCCGTCATACAAACGGGGTTAGCTTAGGTAATATATTGAGTTAGGAGGGAGATTTATATTCATAACGTATTTACGTGTTCA